GGCCGCAGTGGCGAGGAGCCGGGGTGTCCCGCTGCAGTTTCCTCAGGGCAGTGAAAGTCGATTGTGGGGCGCGGCGAGGAGGCACCTCGCTGGGACGGGAGGGGGCCGGTCCAGCAGAGCGGGTGACAGAGGTTGACTGCTTGCTTCACCTCCTTGACCACAAATCTTGAGTGAACCCCCCTCCCTGCCATGCTCTGTTCGCGGGGAGCAAGGTAAATCAGGTCTCTGCTCTCATGGAGCTTCCATTTTAGTGTGGTAAGAGACAGACGATAGACATTTACTAGTAAACCAGTAAAGAAAATAATTATCACATTTTGTTGGGGCCACTTCCTGCGGGGCTTTGCCGGCTGTGATAAGAAATTTGGATTTTTGTCAGTGCGGTAGGGGGCTGTGAGTATTTTAAAGTAGGGGAGTGATCAGCCTTAAAAAGCTTACTGTGATTCCCAGGGCCCGGGAGCCGAAGGAGGGAAGTGAGAGTTACAGGGAGGAGCAATCTGTTTACCTACACTCCCAGCATCCTTTTGACCATTCCAATTCAATCCACTTTTTTTAAGTGGCAGTGACGTCAAGTTCTGTCACCTACATTATAATCACAGAACTGTTTGAGCTCTTTGTATTATTATTTTTGAAGATTAAAAAAATTGAGGGTGAGAGAGAGGTCACTTCACCTATCCACTTGCCACTCAGTTTAGTAAGTGTAATGCTGGGGTTTGTACCTACGTGTCATTCTGACTCCCAGTTTAGTACTGTCTATGTCAGTGATGGCGAACCTTTTGAGCTCGGCGTGTCAGCATTTTGAAAAACCCTAACTTAACTCTGGTGCCGTGTCACATATAGGAATTTTTTGATATTTGCAACCATAGTAAAACAAAGACTTATATTTTTGATATTTATTTTATATATTTAAATGCCATTTAACAAAGAAAAATCAACCAAAAAAATGAGTTCGCGTGTCACCTCTGACACGCGTGTCATAGGTTCGCCATCACTGGTATGTCATTACATCCACCTGTCCGTTTGTGCTCTAGGGTCAGATTCATGCCCCTTGGCCTTGCTGTGGTTTAGCAGCTACAGAAACCTTAATATGAGATTGAGATTGTTTCCTCATAGCCTGATTGTGCTAATAGAAAGGGCCAAAGAAAAGCCGCTGGCTTCCTTTTTGAGCATCGTCTTTTCAAAAAGGCAATGTTGACATGATCAAGGTGCTTTTCAGATTTCTCTTTGTACAGCTTCTGCTTACTAAGGACCTGCTACTGCAAATGGCTAACATTGGTTGAGTTAGCCAAGCACTGTACTAAGCAGCTTTATCTCCATTGTCTTGTTTTCCCCTCCACCCTAATAATTGTCTCTCCCCCACTTTACCATGACACCTTTCAGACATACAAAAAAGTTGTAAGACTTGTATAGTGAATACCCGTGTGCCTAAATTCTACAATTAACATTTTATTCTGTTGCTTTATCATATATCCGTTCATTTATCAATCTACCAATCCACTTTTGCATTTCAAAGTAAGTTGCAGACAATAGCACACTTTACCCTTAAATCGTTTAGCATGTGTGCCGCTGTTATGAACTCTGTTGTCAGATAAGGAAATTGTGGTTCACAGAGTTTAGGTAGGTAGGCCCAATGTCACCCGGCTGGTAGTGGTAGAGCCAGGGTTTAAATCCAAGTCTATTGAATCTAGAATCTGTGCTCTTAACTTTGATGCTATAAGCCTCTGTACAACTATGGGCTTCCTGAGGCTAGAGACCAGTAATATTATTAAGTACTCATTATAGGGGCCCAGTATTTATTGAATTAATAGGCATCCCAACTCAGCTACCAGATCCTTGTATGCCTGGTCACCTCAGCCTTCTTGCAGGTGCTTAATATCCTCATCTGAAAAAAAGGAGAGAGTTTAACTAGGTATCTTTTAAAGGCCCTTCCAATTTTTACTTTTTAAATTTTAGTATTCACTGAACACACCTTACTGGAGAGAAGTTGGAACTTAAACTAAGGAAGAGTAAATGGAAGAGGTCCTAGTCCAGGGGTGGGCAAACTTTTTGACTCGAGGGCCACAATGGGTTCTTAAACTGGACCGGAGGGCCGGAACAAAAGCATGGATGGAGTGTTTGTGTGAACTAATATAAATTCAAAGTAAACATCATTACATAAAAGGGTACGGTCTTTTTTTTTTTTTTTTTTTTAGTTTTATTCATTTCAAACGGCCGGATCCGGCCCGCAGGCCGTAGTTTGCCCACGGCTGTCCTAGTCTGTGAATAAGAGTACATATCCAAGGTTTGGAAAGTCTCTTCTACCTCTTTTGAGTTTCCCAAAGGCTTTTAATGCTGAGGATTATGATATAAAGCTCTATAGAAAGACCATAATGGTTGTTTCTTTTAGAGATGCAGCATCTGAAAAATAGCTTGTAGGCTATATTAAGAGCACTGTGCTTTTCCAGGTGAGTCAGAAATGGAATATAGTACATCTACACACATTCTTGAATCCACAGTTTTGAGGGGCTGTCTTAAGTGTGGTACCAAGGTACTCTCCACAGTCTAAGGGGAATAGTGGTACAGAAGATAAGATGTATTCACAAGACCCTGTCAATAGTGTACAGTGTTGTCACTGCCCAGAGAAGAGCTAAGGCAAGGAATTTGATCTTGAGAATTTGAAGGCATTCAGTAAATCTTATGATGCCACAGGTTTAACCTCACCTGCAGCATTTTTTGCAGGATCCTGGGATAGTTAACTGATACCAACTAGTAGTGTATGTCATTGATTCTTAACCCTTAGTGGGTTAATTAGGGAATCTGATCAAAGCTGTGAATCAAAAAATGCACATGTGAACACATAAGCATAATTTTGTTTCCAATTAATTTTCAATTTCAGGAAGTGTGTGGGCTCCTGGAGTCTATATCTGGTCCCCAGGCTAAATGTCACTGCTCCCATTTGCACTGCTACTGTCTATTCTCTACACAGCAGCCATGAAAATCTTTTAAAAACAAATCATCATAACATGACACATAGCCTAAGACCTTTTCAGTAGCTTCCCATTACAAGTAGTATAAGATCCAAACTTTAATGTGGACACTAGAATTCTGTTCTGCGTTCTGGCCCCTGCCTGCCTCTTCAACCTCATCTACTGATGCTCCTTATTCCCTGTACTTTGGTCACTGTAGCCTTTCTGTCCCGTGGGCATGCTGTTTCCTTTGAATGCAACACTGACTCCTGCCCAGATATGCCTAGAACTTTGCAATATATCAAATATATTGTCATCAAAGAGGCCTTCCCAGATCACTCTATAACCTGTGCCTCAGACACTGGCTCTGTCATTACCCTTTTTTCTTCATGGTGGTGATCTACAATGTTTTTGTGATGGTCTCTGCCCCTGGAATAGGAGCTCCATGAGCACAGGGCTTTTCTGTTTTGCCCTCCATTGCCTCCAGCACCTAGAACAGCGCCTGCAGTGTATTGACACTCAGTGTTAGTTGAATGAGTATGTGAATTGTTTGGACCAGAGACTGGACTTTTCCCCTCGTGGAACATTTTAATGCTGATTTATTATCTCCATTGTGGTGTCTAGGCATGTGGTGTGATAGTAGAATTAATCAAAAGCAAGAAAATGGCTGGAAGAGCTGTCTTGTTGGCAGGACCTCCTGGAACTGGCAAGGTACTCATTTTTTTTAATCTACCCAAGAGAATGAACTTAGTGTCTAAGCCAAATTAATCTTTTGTCTTAGTCTTTTTTAGCTAATTTGGTTAGATGTATGTTTTTAAAAACTAATGTGCAATAGTACAATTGAGTTTCTAAAATCCAGATTATCCTGGACTACCTCCAGAGAAGAGAGAATGAAGTCTGTGGAGGGGTCTCATTGTCTCTGGAATTTGTCTCCTATCTCTTTCAAGGCTCCTTTGCTTTGGAAATACATTTCTGTTTGCCTAGGGCTTCATAGAATCTTCACAGTGACATCTTACTTGAGGAGGGAAGAAAACCACTCAGCAAGCATTTTTCTGAATGCTAACTTTACCTAGTACTCCTCTGGCTGTGTGAGAGATGGGGGGGGGGGGGTAGAATATAGGAATTGGAGACATGATTTTTATCTTCAAGGGGCTTTCAGGGCAGAGAGAGGAAACCATGACAGCACAAAATGCTTTAGTTGAACACTAAGCTGCATGGTATTGATTGATCTTAAATGCAGCTGGAAGGTGAGTAGGAGGCAGCACTGAGGGCTGGTAAAGCTGGAAGCGTTGATCTTGACATTAGCCCTGCAGAGTGGGGAGAAGATTGGCTTTGCCGGGAAGAAAGGGGCCTTTCAGTCAGAGGAGGCAGTATGGCTTGTTGGAATCCATAAAGGGACTGGCTAGATATTTGAAACACCCCAGAGTCCCCAGTCAGCCCTGGTTCTTTGAAACGACCTCTTGGTAGAGGAAAATAGGCTGCTCGGGCCACTGCTTTTTGGGCTACACTGTATGCTGATTCTCTAGAGCAGAGGTTCTCAACCTTCCTAATGGCGCGACCCTTTAATACAGTTCCTCGTGTTGTGGTGACCCCCGATTTCATTGTTACAAATTGAACATAATTAAACCATAGTGATTAATCACAAAAATAATATGTAATTATATATGTGTTTTCCGATGGTCTTAGGCGACCCCTGTGAAAGGGTCGTTCAACCCCCAGAGGGTCGCGACCCACAGGTTGAGAACCGCTGCTCTAGAGGATTCTAGTGTCTCAAAAACTATCACCAAAGGAGTATTGAAAAGAAAATCTAAGCAGAACTTTCACTGG